TTGACATATCGGGGTTCTTCTCCAACCACAGAGGCACTGGCTATATTGCACTGGAGATTTCCTTCACCATCATCTCAACTGTTTCCGATCTTCCATTAGCAGCCTCCTTGGGATGTTGGATTTGATCATCATCACAAAAGAGGTCTTCTGGACTGGCATTCACTATTTTACCGACCTACTGAGGGGATCCCTCGTAAAAACGTTTGTAGATTATGTTGCCAAATTCACAAAGGGAGCAAACAAATATTGAGCACGCTCTTGTCCAAACGGGGTTGGTTTTGCGTGGTCCAGATTTGCCTCGGTAATACTGTATATCCCACCAGCATGCCAAGCCACTAATACTCTAGTCCATGATATCTTGTCCTTCGAGCCTTGTCCGGCCTAACCTCGCTAAAGTACATACTGTATGTAGCTCGCCTGCTCAACCTGCTCATGGTCTTTCACCATCGACCAAAGACCTACAGGCCAAACGGTCCCATGTCCCACACGTATATATTCCATACATCGTTGAATATCCGCGATCGGTGATGTTGAGCGCTATGACACTCCACCTGGCCGGTCCCCGATGTCTCTATTACCGGAATAAGCTGTGAGATATAGGGCTCAATGTGGCTGGCCATCGGAATTGCGGACCAAGAGAAGCCGATTTAATTCATGCCATCCACATCTGCAAGTCAACGCACTCAGCACGCGCTCAGCACCTTGGAATGCCTGCAATAGGGCCCATCGGCACTGAGCGCCTCGATTGTGACAATGCAATTTGGGCGATCTACCAGGACAATCTGAGCGTGGATCCAAGAGTAGGGGGATGGTAACGTACCTAGGCCACAGCTGTTGGTGTATATGTACATGTACATACTACATTCAACCCTATCCATCTCTATCCTGGTGCTAACAAATGCAGCCGTTCGTCCCTGCTTGAAGTGTGTTATGACGAATGAGTAGGTAAGGCTCTGGTCCGAGCAGGAGATTTCTGGAGATGAACTCATTTCATGACGGCGAGTTATCATTGAGGTCATTCTTTTCTGATTGTCATTCCGGACCATAGCCTCGATTTTGCCAATAGATTTGGTGGAGTTCTGGCCGCAGGACGCAGCCGAGCCGGAGGATTGCGGACGTCAACAACGGCTACGCGAATCGGCAGCTTTTTCTAAGCATGTCCCATCGCAAAAGATCTCACAAACTTCCCAGTTACCTACTAACCATCAACGCCACCACACACTGCCGTCCTGGCGATGGATTCCTAGTTTGGATGAGAATTTGACCGGGGCCATCCTCTCCACTACTCTCTCTACTACCCTTCCGGCTCGATCCTGGCACATTCCACCAGCATAAACACGAGCTAGTGCTGTCAAGGGTGGACCACTACAAACGTTGGGTAGTCTATTCGGAACGACTTGATTAAGCAGCCAACTTACTTTAGTCTGGACCTCGACTAGAGGATGGTTTCCTCCGGGAGAGACGGATAGGATGTACTGCAGCATACAGCTCAAGATCTATGTACGTGCCAAATAGCACTCAGGTGTCTCCGGGGAACTGCGAAGATGACACGTTCTGCTCCTTGGGCGATCCGATCTCTTTTCCATTGGCCATTGGAGACAAGGTCTCGTCCAGAGTCGGCTTTAGGGTCGGAGGGGTGTAAAAGAAAGATCATTGCCGGCCCTCTCTCCAGGCTGGAGGCTGGATACGAAGTTTTCCTTGCCCCTACCCCTGCGTCCTTGCCTCTCCACAACGCTGTTATTCGACACCGGAACATCTTCTCTCAATATGACCTGTCGAGCTATTAAGCCGCGTGATCCCCCAGAACTTTGCCCTCATTTGAGGATATTGGGCTGTCCTAATCGCCACGCGAGTCCTCTGGACACTTCCGCATTGCGGACTCTCACCGCCCTTTGCACGACACAAAAGGGAGCAAGCCTGGCGACAACTTTGCATACATGTCTGTGCGGTAAGTGAAGGGCGCACGCGTCAGGAGGCTTTCTTCGCATCAGCGTCGTGATCAAGGCACATGTCCCGCCGAGCCGCAATGCCGTCCTGCTTCTCCTCCCCTGTGTTTCACACCACTTCCTCTGACTCTAGCTTGTGGTATCCAGAAAGATGTGTCAAAAGACCTGATGAGTCGTATAAATGGGGCTGGGCGAGGGTAGATAGCTTGCTACTTGATCATCGATTTCCAGGGCTCAGGTCTTCCGAGCTACCTACTTAGGTCGTTGCGCTCTCAATCATATCGAGGGCCCACGCAGAGCGAGGATGGATCACGGCTGCGGCCTGAGGTATGGGAGAGAAGGGAGAGTTGGAGATGACTCAACATGATTTCATTGGCTCGGTCCTGTTCTCTATGATTTCTCTATGGATTAGAAAGTTGTGTGGTTCTTTTCGTAAGTGGGAAGCCGAAGGGCAATCCAGTGCTGAAACGCCTTTCCTCTATTAAATAAGCCTGAGGCGGGGATTGACTGGCAGCACTCCATCTGTTTGACAGCGGGTGGTTTCTTAGCGTAGGTCATGCCCCATTTCCGCAGCATCCTTCAACCTTCTGTCTCAGCCTTGTTATCTCTTTCTTTTTGATCCCCTTGTTGGCTTCCACCGACAGCATCAGGTTCTGTGCACTGATGTCACATTTTGGTGTCTTTTAGCCACTGCCAGCCGGTTTTGAAAGTTGATAATGTCGACATGAACTCGACCTCTTATCGCTGCGCTTGTTGCTCATTTGGTATTCATCGGTTCTCTCAGGCCCAGCTGATGGCCTGTCTTGATTACCTCTTCGATTGATCAAGGGATGTGCGGCCTTTCTCTGGGGAATATGAGCTTCAAAGATTCGCACCATTCTAGCTGGCTTCGCTCGGTTCCCCCAAAGTGCATCCCACTTTGTGATCTCCAATTGCTTAGGAAACAGCTCCTCGTCTTGATCAAGGCTTAATGCTCCAACCTTCACAGGTGCCCTTTGGCGTCCAGAATCTTGAAGGCTTTGTCAGTGTCCTCCTAGTCTTTACCATCGCCGAGGCCACCTGTATCCCAGCTGAGCCCAGCCATTTATGTGACTTTGACAAGAGATGGGAGTCGCGGCAGATGCTCTTGAAGCGCGAGTGAAAGTAGAGCCAGACCGTGACCTGTGTGCAAATCGTCGTCTTCCTCTTCCACGAAATCGATGTACTTCAACTTGGTGACGTATTTGAACTTGCCTTCTGCAGTAGTCTTCATGAAGATATCCCCGAATCCCGCTGGTGCATACTGCAGGTCCTTGAAATCTTCCTCTTGCAATTCCGAGCCGTTATCCGGCGATCCCGCCGGGTCCGCCACGATTGCTATTGTCCTGAAGAAGATCGGAGCCTATTCCTCGGCATCTGACGGGACACCCAAGGGAGTAAGGTCCGGGTTGTCTGCATATCTTTGACAAATCGAGATCTCTTTGTAAGATCTTTCATATGTTTCAAGAGCTCCGCCGTATCGTCTGGATAGACCTGGTCGTCTACGACTTGTCTACCCTGCCCAATACCTGTAGTTTGGAGCTTAAGCTCTGGGGGAAGGTCAAGGAACCGAATGCTTGATGGCTCCTCTTACTTCTTCCCCTTCGCTTTACTTTTGCCTGACTTTCTCGCTCTTTTCGCTGCCTCCTTCGCAGAGTCCAGTTGGGTGCTAGACTAGCTCTTTCGCTTCGGCATCATGAAATGGAAATGAATAGGAGAACTCAGAAGGTTCTCGTTGACGCTGAAGGGTCGAGTTTTAGACCTTCACTTGCTTAAAAGTTCGGATATCGACTCGTCGTTCCCTCTTTTCAAGAATAAGGATAAACAAATAAAAGTGCAAATGTTGAAGTATAAATACTTAAGAAGAGAGGGCGATCATGTGGCAGGCCCGTCAAATACGGATAGGGTGAAAGCAACAGTACTACTCCCAGATGAAAGGCATGTGTGCAATCCGTATTCACTACCAGAAAGCTTGCTGGTGCAGTTTGTATTGAGCAACGTCTTCGCAGTCAGGTATAACTTACTTTGTATTTAAGGCCGCAAGGTAGTAGCAGGCTGATTAGGAAAAGACAAGGAGAGCGCGTCGGGGGTTATAGGTAGAGTACTCAAAGTAGACTTGATGTTGGATTTCTAGGTGGATGTCACTGTCTTCAGCTAAAGCCAGAAAAAAAATATCTTAAAAACAAAACAAAAGGACATCCCCAAGAGCGGCTTCGCTCAACGTTGTCAGTCCAGAAGGGTATTGGGTTGTCTATAGAATCGACAAATAGAGTATCTCTATATACACCAAACACGGGAGACCTGGAATGTTCCCGTTTAGACCTTCAACAATCCTGTCTGAAATCCTCAACATACACAGCGCGGGGCGTTCCTTGTCACTCCTGAGATGAAGGGTGGATAGCTGACTTTTTTGCCAACCCCGATTCGGCTTTCAGCACACTTTGCAAAAATTCTCGACTGTGCTGCATGGACCTGCACATGCGCCATGATATCCGGCTCTTAGGCAAGCAGAACAACCGACCACTGGCATTCCATTCTGAACGAAGCGTGATGCAATTCGTTAAAACTCCGGTTGCATAAAGGAACAAAGAATGGGTGTGTATTGGAGGGCGAAAATCATCATTTTGTCGAAAGGAGGCGGCGATATGGAGAATGCTGGATTACTGCTCAACAGGATAAGTCGAAACAATTGGGTTGGTCTTTGATACATCTAGACTGAGAGCTAACTATGTAGATTTGGAGTCGCCTTCTGTTTCCCGTAGTCCTGACTCTCGAAAGATCGGTCTGAAAATTTCATCGAGAGGTCGTTTAGCGAAGACCAAACCCTTCGCCTGGTCGGGCGTGTAGAACTGGGCCATTGTATTGGTTGGAGACCATCGCTACTGCAGTTGCAAGATACACCTTGAGATCGGGTGGTTCCATAGGAAATAGCATCGAACTGGGGATATGGGTGAGGAAAACTAGCCTAATACAGTAGATAGAGACCCACTAGCCCCGCCATGCCAGTTATTAGACCCTTGGCATAACTGACATCGCTCATGGGTTGAAGTGGTCGAACTTCACCGTATCAGCCAGATACGCAGCGAGATCCCCATTCTCGTCGAAATCCACCTTCGTCAAACCGTTTCCGATGAAATTGAAAGGGTTGTTGGTGTTGTAGATGAAGTCAAAGTCTTCCCCACGCAACTCGCCGAGCATTTCTCTGAAGTGGTTCATACTGCCAGGGTAGATTGCCGTGATACCGGTGCGATATTCGTCAATTTTGCCTTTCTTGTACCAAGAGTCACAGTCTTCATTCCACGCTGTACGACGGAGAATCTCCTGCAGGTAGATATTGTATGCCTCGACGCGTTCGGTCTTGACACACACGGATCTATATTCCTGTTAGTGATAGAATGAAGTGAAGCAGAGAATAAAACTTACTTGATGTCCTCTGATGAGATTTTGAGAATCCATTTTAGTATATAATTAGAAACGAAGCCCATCGCAGAAAGAACAGGTCCATTTGCGATGGGGAAATTGGGTCCGCAGCCAATACTGAAATAATTCGGCATGTCAGGAGCACATACACTAATATAGCCGTCCACATTATCCTTCCATCTTTCTGAGAGTGTGACTCCACCCCGACCTCTCATCGTCCATGGTGGAATGCGGTTGTTGACAAACCCTGTGGCGAGAATGATGATGTCGTACGGGCGAAATGAGCCGTCGCAGTTGCGAATACCATCCTCGGTGACAGTCTCTATTTTTGAGTCGACGAGTTCTGCATTTGGAGCCTGTAAAGCCTCTAGATATTTATCTTCAGGTGTGAGTCGGCGGCACCAAGGCTGGTAGGAAGGCTTCAGGCGATTGACCAGTGCTGGGTCCCCGTGAAGGCGGTCGCTCATCCAGCGCTCGAGCTCGGCTCGAAATCCCCGCTTAGCCTCCTTACCAGTTTCATTGAAGACTAGTCGCATGAAAAGGCCGTTGTTGAAGCTTTCAATCATCTTCCTATACTTGAATAGATTCTCGGGGTTCTTAAAAGATTCTACCTGCTCCGGAGAGTCTATTTCAAAGATTTAGTTTTGAGCCTGAGGGGAGGTTGTCCTGCGGAGGATTTCACTTACATGTGAAATTCCTGCCTTCAGGCGTAAATTGGTGAGCATAGCTCATCGAGATCCAGGTCGGTTTGCGAATGTAGTGCGTGATGGAAGCTGCATCTGGTTGCATTGCGCGGAACACCTGAATACCCGACGAGCCATTGCCGATCACACCAACTTTCTTCCCTTTCCAATCCAATGAATCGTCCCTAAAGTTCATGAGGAATTGTGGCATAGGATGTCGAGCAACCGGGCATACCAATTTCCAGTGTGCACAACTCTGCCTTTGAAACTACTAAGTCCCGGAATATAGGGTGTGAGCGGAGTGCTGCGGAAAGAGAAGTGTCAGAATCGGTGACAATCATGGCAAGAAAATCAATTGAGGAGCTCACCTCTGCGTTCCAGAAGCGCCGATCAAGATGTCACACTGGTCTTGTGAAATCAGGCCTTCCGACTCAACTGTTGAGTGCCAGTTAGTTCTGCTCATCAAGACGCAAGGCACCAACCCGTCAAATTCCATTTCCCGATTGCTTCGACAAAATTAGCTTCAATCACCCTTGTGTTGAACTGCATAAATCTTTCCAAATCAAATTTCTTGGTGGTTTCCAGGATGTATTCCTCAATTTCTGGCCCGGTCGCGAGGAAATTCTTCCAGTCATGTTTTGGATTAAAAGGGAGAGTGTATACATGGATAGGGACATCGCAGGTGAGCCCAGGGTAGTGATTTGCGAACCAAGTTCCTCCAGGGTGACTCTGGTCACAGTCAGCCACGGCGGCAATTCTCTGTCGCACCCTCCAGTCTGCGACGTACCTGCCTCTCGTAAATCTGAAAGCTGATAACATCTTCAAGCTTCAACTCGTGCGCGACTTTAAATGCTAGGGTGATTCCGGCAAAACCTGCGCCGATGCAGACAACTCGTAATTTTCGATTTTTGCGCAGATAGTTGGGGTTTAATGGCACGCAATAAGGCGAATACTGCGAGGCCATGGTTCTGAGTTCAAAGCAAACGCAATAGAATGCGATGATAACAAGGAGAAGCAAGGGAGCACAGATGGCGGAAACTTTCGAAGCTCAGCACCGTATTTGAGGGCTGTTTGGACTTTACCTGCAATGCGCGCTTGCGGAAGTTATGGGCAGTTATGTTGATGACGGCCCCAGCACATGTGCCCACTCTAATGCAATGGCAAACGCCGGCGGAAAAGCGAGCTGGCATCGGCACATACACAAACGTTTGACTTATAACCTATTCTGCCTGGTAGACCGGGATGAGCTTGCGCAACTCGCAGGTGGAAGTTGAGAAGGGATGCGGCGGAAGTCAAGCGGAGGAGGATGTTGACAGCCGCCTCGACCAATGCGGCTAGCGCCAGCCTTTGAAAGCGGAGACATCTCCTATTTCACCAGATGCTTGATCAATGATCACTTCCACCGTCCTTGAGCAGCGCACATACAGGTAAGCCGCGGTGATGATCCAAGTGGAGAAAAGCTTAGTCAGTTCTGGAGATGACATATGTTGGCTTATCATGTCCAGCACAATACAGAGTCTTGCGGAATCGCTCCAACCTTTTGCTAGAATTGCAGCTGCTCCCCACCCACCACCGATATGCCCGAGATGTGTCGGAGATCCACCACATGAGCAAGTCAGAGCATGCCTCATCGACATATCTCCTGACTTAAATGACCACCATTCCAAGATCAAGTCTCGGCGACTGTTGTTGGCTCTACAAGTTCTCAAGCAGTATACCTTCTAATCACGCCACCGGGCCCTACATGCCGGGTAGATATGTCGGCTCCAAATGCAAACCACGACGTCTTCTACAGCGTAGACGATCTGCTCGTTGAGCGTGCAAATGAAGACATCAGCGAGCCCATTATCGTTTACCCAAACTCCGAATCCGCACTACCGGATTTTCTGTTTCTTACTGCAAAGAATGTCCACAACTTCACGAACACTGCGGCCCAGAAACTGTTGGATCAAGGCCTGAGAAAAGTTGTGAGTTCAACAAGCGCAAATGTCGACTGTAATTCTGACAAGAATCGGTGTAGCCTAACCATGAGGCCGAGACGATCGCCCTTTTGGGCCTATCCGATGTGGAATATATGATCACAATGTTTGCCTTGAGCCGTCTAGGGTATACGGTATTTCTGCTCTCCCCGAGACTCGCAACCGAGGCCTATGCTACTCTGCTCAAAGAAACCGGGTGCCAAACGATATGCTACGACCTAACATTGGAAGCTACTGTGAGAAACATTCGTGGCGTCGAGAGTCTGCGGTCCCTGCGGATCCTGAAAAGGCGTGACTTTTATGAAGCGGCCATAACCACCGCTTCATTCGAACGATCAGACCTCAGCACTTCTGCGAAGCAAAAGATAGCCTTTATCTTGCATTCGTCAGGATCGACGGGTTTGCCAAAGCCTATTTATCAAACCCACCAAGCTTGTCTCGAGAATTTTGCAAAAGGTCACGCCCTACTCGCCCTGTTAACAGTACCACTTTACCATACACACGGCCATGCATGCCTGTACCGAGCGATCTTCAAACGAAGCACCATTTATTTCATGAATGCGCGGCTTCCGCTGACATCGACAAACCTGATTTCTGTGATGGAAGCTGTCAGACCTGCAATTATATTTACTGTCCCATACGCCCTTGGCCTTCTCGCTGAGACAGAGCGTGGCATACGAGCAATGCAATCGTGCGAGATTGTCTCCTCGGCCGGAAGTCAAATCCCAGATGAACTGGGCAACAAACTCGTTGGTCGCGGGATCCATTTGATATCGCACTGGGGCTCGTATGTTTCGCTGAGACTGTCCTAAGTTAGGCCAGAGTGTATGCCATGGTGGCTAAGGCTGACAGATTTTCAGGACCGAAACTGGAGCTCTCATGGACTCTATGCGTCCCAAGGAAGACAAGGACTGGTCATACATGTCGATATTTCCCTCGGCAAAACCATTCGTACTGATGAGACCGCTGGGAGCTCGAAGTTACGAACTAGTAGCACTCGATGGACTTAAGTCGAAAACTGCTTCGAATTCGGCCGATCCGCCGAACTCATTTTCTACCAGAGACATGTTTGAAGCTCATCCTACTAAGCCAAATCGTTGGAAATACACCGGGAGACTGGATGACAGAGTGACCCTTACAAACGGTGAGAAGGTGCTACCTTCTGTCACGGAAGGCCGCTTCCGTCAACACCCACTCATTCGTGAGGCCGTTGTGTTTGGAATAGGACGAGCGTTGCCAGGTGTACTACTCTTTCGTAGTACACTTGCGGCTTCAATGTCTGACGAGGAATTTGTGGAAAAATTGTGGCCTCTCATTGAGGAAGCCAATTCCAAGGTTGAATCTTTTGCTTGCATCTCAAAAGAAATGATCGTGCCACTCGGTGTAGAAGTCGACTACCCACAGACGGACAAAGGCACCATTATCCGTCCTCAAGTGTACAATGTGTTCGAAAGTATTATTGACGACAAATACCAACGTCTGAATCATGGTACCGAAGGAGCCTTGAGACTCAATCAAAACGACACTGAAAGCTTGATTTTGGAGAGCTTCAAGAAAGAAGGCCCAATCGATCTGCCTTCGGCTGATACTGATTTCTTCTCTGCAGGTATTGACAGTCTTCAAGCCATCAAGATGGCAGCCTTTCTGAAGGGAAAGTTGTATCTCCCATCTCCAACGGCGTTGACACACAACACAATCTTCGAACAGGCAACTGCAGCAAGATTGGCCAGGCATCTTGTCTGGCTCCAGAATGGACAAGAACCCAAGGAGGAAGATGAGATAGAAATGATGAAGAGGATGATCGAGAAATACTCGACATTCTCAAAGTTTGTGCCAGTTGAGAAAGGCCAAAATTCGAGATGTTGTGTGGTTGGTATTATATGTATCGACTTCAAATTTCCGGCTCTGGCTGATCAAATTGCAGCTACTTACAGGGGCAACAGGCTCATTGGGCATTCATATCCTTACCGTGCTTCTTCATAACTCGGGGATAAACAAGGTGTATTGCCTTGTGAGATCTTCAACGGCTGATGATTCGAAGCAGCGAATTTTCTCTAGTCTTTCGAGGAGAGGGTTGTTATTACCAAACGAATTTGAGCGACGTATTGTTGCCGTACCCAGTGATCTGGGCCGCGAAGACCTTGCCCTCGGGCAGCAGATGCTCAACGAGATGCGAAACAACGTGTCCCTAGTTATACACAACGCGTGGGCTGTGAATTTTAACCTTGGCCTGCGCAGCTTCGAGGACCAGCACATCAAAGGCACGCACCACCTACTCAATTTTGCCTTATCTGTCCGAGCACTGCAACCTGCACGATTCGTCTTTCTCTCGTCAGTATCAGTAGCGTCAAAGTCAGAGAGAACGAATGTTGTGGCAGAAGCTTTGCTAGAAGATCTAAATTCGGCCAGCATGGGCTACGGGAGGTCGAAAATGGTCGGAGAGCACATGGTCAACAAGGCGGCTACCTTTGGCATCGATTGCCGTGTAATCCGAATCGGACAAATCGTCGGTGATAGTCAAAATGGATTCTGGAACGATTCTGAGTCTGTACCTCTCATCATCCGCTCGGCACTGAAGTTGGGTTGTCTTCCACAATTGAAAGAGGTTCGTGACATTCTGGTGTCTCTCCTTCCATTGCCATGTTTCAACCTTCCCCTGCTGACTCTTCTTTCGATTGCAGAATTGCTCATGGATTCCTGTTGATTTTGTTGCGAGTATCATTGTTGAGTTGTGTTACAAAGAAACTTCCACTGAAGCAGAAGACTGGGGCCCCAACAGTCCGGCCTTGTCTTGCCGTTTCTACAATGTTGTGAATCCAGCCTCATTCTCTTGGGTAGGCGACTTGCTTCCATTACTGCGGGAGACGGGACTGTCCTTTGAGTCCGTCTCCCCGCAAGAATGGCTGGCTCGATTGGCAGCAAGCCAACAGGATCCAAACGTCAACCCCGCGATCAAATTGAGGTCTATCTACGAGAGTAAATACGCAATCAAGCAGAGAACAAGAGGAGACAAGCACGACACGGACATAGCAGCTGGACAGGTCTCAAGCTCGACAGATTACGAGGCCGGCAGGTTGGAGGAAGTAGGCAACCAGGTGGCATTCGCCACGGAGAGAGCATGGGACGAAAGCGAGACAATGAGGAATCTACCTGATCTACTTGGCGAAGGGTTCGTGAACAAGTTTGTCACCAGCTGGTTAGAGCAATGGCAAGGTTAAAGTGCTGGATGTTGCGAGGAGGTGTAGTCTCATTCAACCAGATGCTTTAGACGAGAACGAGAGTTAAGTATATAGCCTACTGTGGTAGGCTCTGCAGCCGCATAAGGTGCCAGCTTCCGATGCCGAGGCATGCGATACCACGCAAGGCTCCCAGAAGTGGGGGCTGCGGGGAGCGACACGACCATTCCTCTTTTGGCTATTTAGGGATGACGCACCACGACCTCTCAGCACAGCCAGACACCCAGGATACATAATTTTCTGTCCTGTAGTCACATATGACAGGGGAAGAGCTGCCCAGTTTGCTACCGACGGGGTCTTCTCAGCTCAATCTCCTCATGCTCGAGTATGCGGATGCATACCATCTAAGCATCTCGCCGCATCTTGTATAGCCGTACATACTTCTAACCAGTGTTCATCCAACTTCCGAAAAGGTCTATATTATGGATTGGACGAGAAGGCCAGGTCTTAACCCAACAACAAATCCAAGGCGCGTCCCACCAGACCTCCGCAAGCGCGCGGCCGTCAGCTGCGACCGTTGCAAGAAGCGGCGACGAAAGTGCGTCCGTCTTCGCTCAGCCTCTACTTGCGAGCTCTGCAAGGAGAACGCAGTTTCGTGTATCACAACGATCCCCCGCAAACGGCCAGCCGCTATACAGACTTCACTGGCGAAAGAAGACCTGTCTCCTCGAACTTTTATCATGGAGCAATTGATTGGCAGGCTATTCCCGGGAGTGGCAGTCAAAGATCCCAACGAGCTTTCCAATCTTGCTGACTGTCTTGAGGAAAGTGATGTTCAGATACGGTTCATGCGTAACAAGCTGTCAGTAACGACAAATGGTTCTGCCGTGCAATGTGCGCTTGCGTCTTCGACTGCTGCGTTGATCCTCCAGGAGCAGCCATCTCCCGGGCTGGAAAACGAAAGTGATATCTTTGTTAAAGCATCAACCAAACTTCCTCCCGTTCGAACAACGTCTTTAACAAGCAAACAGCCGGGAAACAGCTGTGAGAGAATTCTGCAGAACTCATCAGGGACGCTGTGTTACTTCGGCCCATCTAGTTCAATGGTATTTGTGATGCAGCTTCGCGAAGAATTGATATCGACGGCGATCCAAAACCTGGAGAACCTAAAGCCCAAGCAGCGACGACTCCGTCAGGAGTTTGCAGCGGATGACGGTTGCTGTACCATGGAGGAGCCATCTACGACAGATAATCTTGAAGCCCGCACACAGGGTCAGAGAGGCGCACTTCAATGTTATCCAGAAGATTCAGCCGAGGATTCTGTCAGCGCCAACCTCTCTACATCAGCCATATCCGAGCGACCACAAAAATTCGTCGACTTTCTACCACCGCGAGAGGAAGTGGAGCACTTAGTTGAACTATTTTTTGTCCACATCCATCCAAACATGACCTTGTTCCACCGGCCATTGTTCCAGATCGCTCTTGAAGGTCTTTGGACCTCCGAAGTGAATTCGCAGGATGTCGGATGGTTGACCTGCTGTTGCCTCGTGCTCGCCTTCGGTTGCAAGCATTTCGCGCTTACCTCAAGTTTCCAGAACACTCCGCGATCAAGGAGCATCTGCCACCTCCAGCAGAAGCTCGTTGATATAGCACTAGGGAATGTAGCGCAGTTGATTCAGAGTGCTACTATTCAGAGTGTGCAGGCACTCGCACTTCTTTCGCTCTATCTCAATACCACTCGCCATAGAAACGCCTCGTGGATCATGATGGGGTGTAGTATCAGAATGGCAATCAGCTTGGGCATGCATCGGAGCGACAACGTCCTGCAACAGAAAAGCATCCTCTCGATCGCGGTTGAAAGGGAACTGAGAAAGCGAGTCTGGTGGTCCTTGTATATTTTTGAGCAGTACAACAGTGCCCTCTTTGGTCGTCCCAGTGCAATCGACGAACTAGAATCCACCACCGACTTACCTACGGATTCGGTCCTCGACGAGGGCTACCATCGTCCCCCAGGTCTCATCAAGCATGACATATCCCTCGCGCACATTGTCGACAAGATTCGACGATCACAGGCAGATCAAAGGCGATGTGCAAGATTTTCCGGAGGCGGGAGTGGCCCGAGCCTGGCCGATGACCAGATGGCCCTTCGGCTCTTGCACGAGTTGGATACATGGTACCACGAACTGCCTTCGTTCCTGAGATTTGACGCATCGAATCAGGGCCACATATACCCCAGCCACTTCCGACAACTCGTCACTCTCCAGCTCCGCTTCCAACACGCAAGACTACTATTGACACGTCCTTTCTATCTGAGGTTAATGCAAAACCGATCATCCTCTGGGCAGCTTGCTGCTGGGCTGGAAAACGACCTGATGGTAAAGTTCGGCGACATTTGCGTTGCTTCAGCCCTCGCTTCTTGGAGACTGGCCCGAAATCTGTGGGATGGGGGCCAGTTCAACGGAGACATCTGGCTCGACGGCGTCTTTTTGTATCAGTGCGGAATGGTCCTGTCCCTGGCGTGTCTGGACACGCGGCAGAGACCGAGTGTTGCCCAGGTTGGGGAGGATCGGAGAGTTGTCTACCACGCAATCGAAAGTATCCTGAGCATGTTGCACGACATCCCGCTCGACAAGCCCATGAGCCGCATGGTCCAGATCGCAGACGACTTTTGCAACATCGTGCGGTCCATGGAATCCGAATATGCTGCGTCGGTATCTGAAGACCCTACCGTGCAAGATCCGAGCAGCGATGAACGGGAACCCCTGCGATGGTCGTCTTCCAAGAACGGCAAACCCGCTCGCATTTCGCAGCCGCAAGCGGGACAGTCGCGGACCCGTTGGGCCGCTGAATCTCCCACGTCCATGGACCCTTTGCCGCCGTCATGGGCCAGCGCCCCTCCACCGCTGCCAACGGTTGGCGGTGAAGTCTCCCCAGCTGATGACAGAGACCAAGAATTTCTGACCTCTCCTTCTGCGTGGAACGTAGAAGGCACGCAGTTGATAGATTCTATGCTTGACTGGGACTTGTCGCAGATCTTTGGGTTCGATGGCGGCGGGTCCATGAACAATCCTCTCCTCGTCTAAAGCCCGTGCTGGATTTTGGGCATGTTCGTGCAGTGTAGCCAGGACCATATTCCTCGGTAGTGACCACACCGCTAGTGGCTATAGTCCCGAAGCCTGCACCACCCTGAAACTCGTCAGAACCGTCTATATTCATGCATAGTCTAAAGCCTGACTGGGGTTTGACACCTAGGGCGGTGAAAGCCTGCGAAGACAATGCTGTCCATATATTGTCCGTGGAAAAAATCGGCCATTATTAAATATACGAATCATCACCGATACTTATTTATTGCACGTTTAGCTAATCGAAGCGAATGATCACAGTTGACTGCCTACAACATTAGGACTAGTCGACTACTTATAGTTGAATCTAGTCGGCCCTAACTGACTTTGGTCCTGAATTCGTGGACTCAGGCTAGGACTAGGAATGGCAGGAATATAATCCTTGCAACGCTGACATTGTGGGGGGAGCGAAAGGGTAAAGTTTTCTGAATGTTTGCATTGCTCATCTAGCTAGTTCATGTCGAAGAACGGAATCTGTGGCCAACTATCATCTCAGTCCGTTAGGATTCCATCGCGGTGGTATTTTCTGTCGGATAAGTGGAAAGCCGGCACACCACGGCATAGAGAAGCCGGGCACCCAACCGTTATCAAACAAGGCACCATTGTTTCTGCCCATGATTCAGTCCGTAGAGCCCATACGCATTTCATGTCTCACGTAGGCATCCCTGCCTCCCACAATCTCTTCGCCGCCTCTTGCACTTCCTTCTGCAACTGCTCCTTGCTCTTGCGGAAGGATAGGCGGACGGTGTTATTGTTGTTGTAGCTCCGGTCGAAGCGCTCTAAACCCTGAGTCCTCACCACGTACGAATCCTGCATGACATGCTCGCTCAAGTACTGTTCCAAACTCCACCACAGCCATCCGGTTGACAGGTCCATCGTTGCACGAGGAACCGAATGTGCGTTGCGGAAGTCGTCTACTGGCAGTATCGCGCGTATGGGGTTGTATACGAATGGGCTGCGGATCACGTCAAATGTCTCGAGGTGTAGTACGCCCGCGAAGCGTCCGTAGAGACGGGACAGAGAGTAGTTCTCGGCCTCATGGTCGAAGGGTAGGACATGAAGCGAAGGCAGAAGTACGCCGAAGAGACCGATAGGAACATCCTTGAATATATCTGCCGCGATCCGTGGCGGGAAGACGCGGTATTCCAGGTGGCGGATGTTGATTACCTTGATCGGATCAAGCGTGGCGAGAAACTCGGAGAACAATTCTGGTGTACGTCTCCAGTATTCAAGTCTGATAGTCGTAGACCGCAGAAAATAAGGCGCGAATTCATTGTGGACCTGCCGGCATACGAAGAGGAGAGACTTGCGCGTCTTGGACCAGCCGTCGTAGCCTTTGGGGAAGTCTGTGGCGTCGTCCCTTGAATGGTCGGGGATTGCCTCGAGGATGCTGTAGATCTGCGCGCGGATATCCATGTACAGATCGAGGAATGTGAGCCCTTTGGATGAGAGAAAGCAGGTTTTCTTCACTATTGTCGGCTTCAGATTCTTAGTTCCCTTTTTCACCTGCATTACGTTTGTAGCTTTTCCTTCGTTCTTGACTGTCGACTTTGATGTCGCCCTCGATCCAGCCACGGCTAGGCCAACTTCCCTATCGTTCTGATGCACTCCGCCAGACTTTGACGCTTCCAGTATTGTGGAATGCGAGGAATGGTCTAAGTTCACGGCAACGGGGCTCAGAGACGTGATGTCTTTTCGCATTTGGATGGGCCAGCGCCTTCAAAAGGAAAAGAAGAGAGGGAGAAGAAAATTTGCACTGCGGATGAAGAGACGTTACCGGGCCTCAGGGCTAGAAGTTTCCGAAAGCCAGGGTGATTGTTCTCTCCTTTGCTGCCTCCGCGCCGCTAATCTCATGTCGGCGGGCCGCAATGAGCAGCTGCACCTGTTTCACCTTTTTCCGTGCTGGTTGCTCTGACATTGTTAGCACTATCAGTGCCCTATTCTTTTAACAGCCGGATCACAAAGATGGGTCATAAATATATATAATGGGCTGGTCAACGCCAAACGTGGATGAATGCGGACAGTTCTACGTGCACTTGCTGGTTTGACAAAGGGACAAAACAGCGCGGGGCTTGCTTTAGGTGTCTCTATGCTTCGAGCCGGCGAGGACATGACAATGGGCGGGAGAAGTAAGGAATTGACGAGGTTTCAAGCAATAAAAGCCCCCCTGATCGTCTCCACATGGAAGAACCGCATCGCCGTACAAGATATACGGCGGAGTTCAGATGCCGGAGTAGCACAAGAGAAGCCCGGTGGACGTTGACTGGAGGCCTGAAGCTTGGCAACGGTGGTCACATGATATCACACTACAGAACTCCGTTCACGCACTCTTGTCCTTACCTTGGTAGTCTTTCGTACTGCTATTTCATCTATTTCATGTCTTTTGAAGCCGCTCACGTAGACTTGCCCGTGGAGCTGTGATAGCAGGTTTCACTTGTGTGAGGCAGTTGAAGAAATTGGTGACGACAGGAATGGATTGGGACAGTAGTTTGAACATGGCATCGACAACAATGACCGGCAATCTTGACAGACGACAGACGCACAATCTGCCTGTATTCGGCCCTTTGTTCATATCCCTTCACCAATGAGCTTGTGCTCCCATAGTACAAAGAGCGAGGCTACCAAGGATGGAAAGACAAAAGAAGTTGCTGTTTGTTGCCGCAACTATCGCCCTTCGCGGGCCGAGATGTAAAATATCGTGGTGAGTGGTGTTGAGCTTTGACATGGTGACAGCTGAACTGAAATGAGCTCAAGGTCTACAAATATATATACTTATCTAGTGGGTGCAGAGAACCTACAGTCGATTTGCCTTGACTGGGGCAGCAGGGCGTGACTGCCTGAGGGCCAGAGTGCCGTGCATTTGTCGTCTCTCGCATTGTTCGCTTCGCAGTGGATTCCTCTCCAGGACGTGACTGGTCTCATCACCTATAAAAGTTGGACCCCTCTCGTCAACTGCAAACCTCAACCAAAAGCTCCAAGCACAAACTCCAAGCACTTCCACTCGAAACAAACTCCAGTCTCTGGAAAGCCCCCATTACACTTCTACAACCATGTCTGAAAAAAGTGGCGACCACGGCACGGCACTTCAACTCAGAAGCCCAGACGAAAGCAAAAGCTGCATCAGACTGGGCCTGGAGACGTATGTCAAGATTCTGCTCTTGTTAATGCCTTCCCAGAAGTGCGACTGCTCATCTACAAGATTTTCGCCAACCCTCAGTACGAGGATCGTCTCAACGGCGATCGCAAAACCTTCTCCTGATATGTCGACAGATTACGGCCGAATGGGCTCCGCTGTTTTGTCGATCGACGAACATTCTCGCGAACCCGCCCAGACCTGGAATTATACCAAGAAGACGCTGGGGGCTGGGCGAACGCTACAGCCCGGATCAGTTTCATAGTCTCTTTTTGAAGAATCTCGACAAGTGCAAGTTGAAAAATATCAGACGCATAGAACTCGAAGCCTGCACTCAAGAGAACGGTTGGGAAGTCCGCTTCGGCATATTGGGATGCAAGGGATCTTCACTTGCCCAGATTCGGTGACTTGGAGCGAAATGAACGTGCTTCTAAACATCCTGTATGAGTACCGAGATCGGCTCCAATCGCTTCAAGAGGTAACCATGCGCAACACCTTCGTCGAACCTGTGAGGTATTGGCGGAAGATTAGTATGTACGAATCTCCCGATGCTCCCAGTTATCCAATGGCGAGGAGAGTGTAGAGGGCGCTAACTCGCGACGGCGGCTTTGACCAGCTCGCAAAAGAGTGGCAAGAGTGGCAGGTTAGGGAATGTTCTGGAATCTGCAAGGACTGGGATTTGCACAAGGTGGTTGATGCCACAGTACGGGTTGCCGACCGACCGGAGGACAGAGATGCGTTCTTTGATCGGTATGATATTCCTCCTGAGCTGAATGACGGGCGGCATGAAGCAGGATACTGCTACATCATAGTCTCGGTCCAACTGGTCTTCACGAAAAGAATCGGCTCCGCCGAGAATGGGACAGCAACGCCAACGCCAGCAGACCAAATTATTCCGAGATTCGTCGCGACATTGGAAGAAAACCCATAGAATTGAGCCTGGTAAGATCTCCTAAGGGAAGCTGGCCTGGGCTGAACTACGTATACCTAATCGATCGTGAACCTCAAATGACTTCTTGTACATTATGTCTATATTCCCTACGTCTCATCTCGTCTGAAGTCGCACGTGGAACAAAACGCGCGTAGAAAAGCATCAAGCGTCAAGGTCAGGATCAAGCGTAATTGTTTCTTTATGATTTGGATTTTTCTCTTTTTTATATTTGTACTTGCGTACTCATACATAAACAACACCTGAGGGTTAACATAAGAACGCCGCTAGAATGCCCGTTTGATGCATGCTCCCTAGAAATGCCTCTCGATGCTTTGGGATTTTTTCACAGCTCTAATAGCCATAACCTGAAAGATCAGTGTGAGAAAATGGGGCCATGATCCAAGCGCACAAGATGCCAGTGACGGTTGGTGGATGCAGAAAAAAAAAATCGGTTTCATGTCTCATCACATAGTCACCCTCTTAGGCTTTCTCTTGTCCCCAGAAAAGCTCTCGGATGGGTATGGTCTTCCTCATCTCCCATTCTGATTGTGTTCGCGTGTAGGGGACGACCCATCTCGAGTATCTCTAGCCCTTAGCGTACTCATGGGTCCACCAATCTCTGTCCCAGTATCCGCTTTCCAGCTTCATCTCGCTCATCTCGAGCCTTCCCCTCCTGTCCTGGCTCGAATTCGGATTCAGATGCTGACGGTTTTCCGTTGCTTGCCCGTTTCCACCCCCCGCTAAGTCTGCCTGGCCCGAGTGTAGTCACTCGTACCCAGCCCCTCTTTGCCAGGGACTCGCATTGTTTTGCTGCCGGAAACCTTGCTGTGGGGGATATCCGCCTTGTGCGGAACGAGGAGGCGGGGCCCCGTAGCCACCGCTGGCGAGACTACTCATACTTCGATCGTATGAAGGTTGCGTGGATGCTGTTGTTGGTCTTCCACCATACCCGTAGTCACCGCCAGAATTGTAGCCTTGGTTGTACATTTGTCGTTGTTCATATGATTGTGGGGGCCCACGTCGTCCGGGCTGGTCGCTGGGATACATGGGTGTGTTAAAGTCTTGTTGAGGATTGGCGGCGTGGTTCTGGGACATGGGTCGCTGTGAGATTTCAGATTGATGCTTTAGCGATTCGCTTGAGAAGGAAGCGGCATCATCGTATCCCTTGTCCTTGGTATACGCGGTCGTTCCATCTCCCCTGGCCGTGGCACCCAACGCGTCCAGCTCAGTGGTGAGCGCGGCTTGAGACTTGATGAAACTTCCTCGGTCATCCCGCATTGGCTGATATCTGACCTCTGGGTTTTTGGAGGCAATGGCGTAGATAGAGGCAATGAGCACTAAGATCAACAGAACCGCGGCAAAGACGACGTTATAGAAGGCGAAGATGACGCCCATGACGCCCGAGACCATTTCTGGCTGCCCGAATGCATTGGAAAAGACGAGGAGGAAAATAGCGTTAAGGAAATTGACCGATGCGATGGAGATGTTGAAGATGTTAGTCTTCTTGTCCATATAGGGCCGCAGGACGCTGATGGCGATCAGCGCCACCGCCTCGACAATGACCAAGCCCACGGCTTGAGCAACTGGCGACTTTTGCGCAAAGGCGATGAAGATGGCCTTGATCAGGATATAGCCCAGAAGAGGCACCACGAAGTAGTAAGCGGTGGCGCGATACTGCACATAGAGGAACCCCCACTTGTTAAGGCATTCGGGGTCGGAATAGAGAATGTAAGCCGGGTTCTTGTGCATGGCGACCGATTTCTTTGCCAGTTGAATGACCTTGAAGGATGCCCAACCCAGGGCGATAGCCATGGAGATGAACACGATCAATGCCAAGACAACTTCAGCGGCCGAGTCTCGTTCGACCAATTCCCATAAGCAGAGGACAGACATCTGTACGAAACCGAGAAGAACCTGGGGTGTACCTGTCAGCAGCTGGATGCCTTAAAAGGGGGGTTTGTGGAAGCTCACCAATCGGAAAAGAATGCCCTTGATAACAATTTTCCAGCCATTTCGGAACTCGAGGAATTTATCCGACTTCATCCAGCCTGCCTTGGCACAACCATCAAGAATGGCCTTGGTGAGGGCGACCAAGACGGCGACCAAGAATAGGATGAAGACAAAGAATATCAGACCGGTCATGAAGATGTTGGTCTGTTCGATTCCTGCCCTAAAGCCGACTCTATCGATTCCACGAACCACCTTGACGTTTGCGACGGTAGTGGTTGAAGATGCAGAGCTTTGGCGTTTGGCCAGGTAGCGTAAGTTTTGGGTCGCGAAAGCTGCCATGACGTCGAGCGAGCGTTTGATGGCGCGTTTCTGTACTTGGACGGAATAGGTGCTCAGGGTGGAAAGGTAGGTGGTTGGAGTGCCGCCAGTTGCCCGCTGATACCATGTTGCAATTGACTGGAGGAAGCCAACACGAATGATACCCATACTCCATTGGAAGTTCTGAGTCCATGATTGCACAATAGGAGGCATGGTGACGGAAGTCATGCCAATGACAGCCTGGGCTTGGAAGAAGCCGAAGAGCGAGACAGCGTTCGCAGCCACATGGGCGGCCGTGTTTGGGTGACCGAGTCCGGACGTAAGACCAGCGGCAACTAGACCAAGGCCGGCGATAACGGCCGTAGCCCAGCCTACAGCTGGATGGTAGACGCTCTTGGTGTTGGAGAGATCAGCTTCCATACACGCAATCACCTCACCCGTGTCGAGGGAGGTGACATAGACGCGAACCACGCCGTCAAGATCTGGTACGCTGTACGCGATTCCGGGGACTTGTTTGGCAACATCCTGGGGGACGTCGATATTTGTCTGGATGTCGATTTGACCGGTCTGCATGGGACAGAAGCCCGAAAGGTCCATGGAACAGGGGTCGAGCGTCTGGTTGAGGATGGTGAATCCATAGGCAATGACCTCCAGCTGCGCCGTCACATTTCCCACAATGGACGAGACACCGTTAATATTGAGGCCGATACTGCTGTTGGATGGCGTGTATGCGACATTGAATAAGGTTGCCGTGAAATTGGAGCCACTCTTGCATGAATTCAACGAGTTTGACTCGATTATATTTTCTGCAAGGGCGAAAGGTGACAGGGAGATGGCGGCGAAGAGGGAGAGAAGGTAGGATAATGAGGTTTGAGACCGCATTTTTGGATCGAGTCGCAGTCGGGCGTCTGCGACGGGACGCGGTTGCTTAGGTAGGAGAGAAGGGGGAACGCAAGAGATTTCAGGGCGCCAACCAGGGCGAACTCCTCCTCAGCAATCAACGATTAGGGCGATGTATGGAGAGGATATTATCGGTTTTCTTGCAATGTCGAGCTCGGTGACGGGCAAAGGAAGACTTATTCGAGGAGGGCGATCGATGCAGTCATTGGGGATTTTCAAGGGAGGCTGGAAGGTGGACAAAAAACCGGGAATTGGAACGAGCGGCAAAACTAGGGACAGTGATGGTTGATAGGCGTCGTCGTCGGCGGCGTGGCAGTTCAATTCTGGTGACAAAAAATGTCAAAGAGAATTGAAGGTGCAGCCGGTGTCGAGGTTGGGGGGGATATCGGGTGTGAATAGCGAGCGTGAATTGTAAAGGAGAGTGAGGTGGTCGTAAGTGGTGGTGGTGGTGGTAGTGGTGACGGAGGCTGGAACAGGAAGAGATGCGAGATTTGACACGAGCCCTTGGAGGCGACGCAACAGAACAGGAGACGCTGTGGTGCTGGGTGCTTTGGGCGAGTCGCGTGGAGCCCAGGGCCTGTAACCGGAGTCGATCGGGTTGGTGGGCTGCGGCACTACGGCACTCCGGTTGTACCTTGTTGTTGTCTCTTTACGGGTAGCAGTGTCTTGGTTTGGGGGAGGACGAAGGATGAATTGGGTACCGCAGGTGAGAGACGATAGGGCAGCACGGCAGGGGGGAGGCAGTTTGGGGGGGAGGCGCAGGGAAGACAGGGGCCAGGGAGGGTAGGGGGGAGGGGCCTAGCCTAGAAGAGCACCCAGAGAGAAGACAAAGAGTGACAAAGGAAGCCCCAGGATGCCAGATCCTTGCCAAGCCTACGCAGATGGCACGGGCGCTAAGCAGAATTGGGAGCTGGAGCTGCCCGTGATCTGCCCCCTGACCAGTCAATGAATCGCGGGCTTGCGTGTGCGGAGGCGCAGCAGCTCGTGGTCAAAGAACTGAAATTGCCCAACCACCATCCGAACCCACCCAACACCCAACATCAAACACCACACAATGACTGAGTCTTGACGAGGCTGATTGGAACTCTGCCTTGCCAGATTATACATAGTATTATTATGATTGTTATTATCATCCCTGCTTCTCCGCATGTTCTCTTCAATCATACTCCTAGTTCCTTCCACCCAGTATGCCGAGTGTTCGGTACTGACCTCGCTGGATACTCCTCGTACCAAGAGCCCACCCCTACCCAGTAGCAGGTCCAACGACGTCATCGTGTCTCGCATTCGGCTCTCGGCTTGGCCACATTCCGTAATCGGAAACATGCCAACCACCCGTCAACGTGCTTCACCATTTGTTGCCGCTACATCTTGCGTTTCATCAACCCATTTTCATGTCCACCAAGTTTTCAATTCTCCTTGCAAGTCCATCTCCCGAGGACTCGACCTCACCACCCCCCCCGGTTCTTTGCTTTGTACGCGTTCTCCCCCACAACCCTGTGTCCTAATCTCGCATCAAAGTTATTGATGTCCTTAGTACCCAGTACCCACTACGGCATAGGGACTGTGTATGAGAGTACACAAAGAAACCATGGACTATTCTTGACTCTCCGCATATTTCTGATTGAATTTCGTACTTAGCCCAAACTCCAGCTATCTGGGGGTGTCACTATTGTATGCTCTAATGGTCCATGGGAGGGCTCAAATCCCGTGAGCATCCAAACCCATCCTGCCCCTTGGACAGCCCAATGATGCTTGTTTGGTAAAATCAGTATTCCCAGCTCGAATCATAAATCGTAGCAGTCCAAGCCTCCATCACAACATGCCTCGTTAAGTTTACAATCCAGTTTCTTGTCGTTGTGGTGGTGGTTGCTGAGTTCGAGGGAGCGGAATCTCGTCTTTGCGCGGACTCTGGTAGTATTCTTTGCGTTCCTGAGCCCATTTGCGCTGCACGAGATCTCCCCTGACTGAGCGCAGGTATTTCGTGGCTTGGTCGATCAGCTCTCGACTTTCGGTGCTTTCCTTGAGCGTCTGCAACATTGTCAACACTTGATTCTCATTGGTGAGATGCGGACACGTTCGAGAATGCCCCAGATGCGCAATCCCACACAAGCCGCAGTGCTCAACCCCTGCCAACTTCAGCCGACACCAGCCCATCGGATGATGCTCATTGCATACAGAGCAATGGTGCACAGGCGGCATCCGCTGAAGGGGTCCATAATCAAAACTTGTATCTCCATTGAAATGCGGTGCTGGTCCAAGGGGAACTCGGACTCGTCGGAAGGGCCTCGCTGTCGCGTCCGTCATATATCAGTATCGGCGACTTTGTGGATTAGATTTGATCCTCCTACCTTGGACTTTCGGTCGCGATTTGGGCTGCGAGTCTGCCTCCGTGACCTCTTCATCCTCAGATTTGTCCTCCGGGGTTTTGTAGTCAGAGTCCACCGCCATGATGCTGCGTTTGCCTTTATCCTTGTCAGGCTCTCCCTTCTCGCCGTTGTCGACACCGTAGTCGACGTTCTGACCAAGTTAGTTCTTGCACATCCCCATTCCGGCTCGAAATCCGAGACCAGCACAGCATCGGGGCTCTCTCACCTGGCGTTTTCTTTTGCCTCGACCAAAGGCCTGAGCTTTTCTCGCTTCCTCTTCTGCGAATTGTCGTTCCCGTTCTTGCAGTATCTTGTCCCAAATCCCGGGGTTAGGGGTACTGTTGCCTGTGCGGCCAGGCAAATCCTCCTCCAATGTAGACTTATCATTGGCCCAGATTCGGGCGAAGCTAAATTGCGACTCGGCCGACTTCTGTTCGTCTATCTTGGTGTCTTCGACTTGTGTCCGATCTAGTAGACGATCAATTGACGCCGAGTCGTAGACAATATCATCATCACCAGATTCATCTTGGAACAAAGCTTCAGCACCGTGCCGCAAAATCGACTCGAGATCCTCGCCCGCATCGTCTTCCTTGTCCATTCGCTCAATGAGCACATGATCTAATGCCATCTTCTTTCGACCAATCTGTATAATCTTCTCTTCAACGCTGTCTCTCGTCATGAGTTGGAACACAAGCACTTTCGCCTTTTGACCAATGCGGTGAGCTCGGGAAAGTGCTTGGATATCCTGGTGTGGATTGAAATCTGGATCAAGAATGATGACAGTGTCGGCAGTGGCGAGGTTGATCCCCACTCCACCCGCTCGCGTTGATAGTAGAAAAGCGAAGTAAGGCGAGCCTGGCGCATTGAATTCGTCAATTCGCTTTTGTTTCTCAGCAGCAGAGATATTCCCGTCAAGCCGAAGATGTTGGATCCCGAGTCCGTCAAGGAAGTCCTCCAGGACATCTAGATTGTCCAGAAACTGGGAGAACATGAGAACCCGATGGCCGTGTTCTTGAAGCTTAGGGAGCATGATGGTGAGCAGCTGCAACTTTGATGATGCTTCCACTAAATTCCGATACGACATCGCACCATCAACCCCCCGTTCCTCAATCTCGCGACTGTAGACAAAAGGGTGGCACAGGCACTTGCGCAGCTGCATCAAAATGTTGTTCAGGTTATGCCTTTCCTTCTGTTGGATATTGCTGTCACGAACAAAAATCGACTTCATCAGCTGTGGGTTTTTGGCCAAAATCGACTTATAGACTTTTTTCTGGACGGTTGACATGCTGACCGGTAAGATGATCTGGGCCATAGGAGGGAGGAATGTCAAAACTTGCGCCTTGGTGCGTCGAAGGAAGAACTTCCGGAGCATCGCGTGCAGCTCGGGAACGTTCTCCTGTGTAAGGTTGGCATATTTTGCTTCAAGATCGGCAGCATTAACGCTCTTGTCGAGGAACTGGAGAAGATTGAACAGTTCTCGGGCATTGTTCTGAAGTGGTGTACCTGTCAATAACACTTTGAACGGGAAGCGAAATTTAGACAATATCTCGTATATCTGTGTCCGGTCGCTCTTCAAGCGTTGTCCTTCGTCGACAACGAGGGCTTGCCAGGGGACCTTCATTAGACTTTTCCGAGTCTTCTCTTCAACGATCGACTCGTAGGACGCAACCACGACATGAGCTTTGATGTCCTTGATCTCGTTTGATTTCTTCTTAGGCAGGCCATGGGAGTCGTCTTCCTTGTCTTTGGGAAATAATTCGTAGTCGTGCGTGAGCTTCCTGGCCACAGAAGACCCATAATACATGACAACTCTAAGAGAAGGGGCCCACTTCTTTATCTCGCGTCGCCAGTTGGGGCATGTGGAGTTGGGTACCACAACAAGGAAAGGCCAGCATTTGTGATCCTGGACCAACGTAGCAAAGAAACCCACTAGCTGAATGGTCTTGCCCAGCCCCATTTCATCGGCGAGAATAGCATTTTGATTTGTGAACCATTGATAGAGGAGCCAATTCAGACCCTCCAACTGGTATCGCATCAATTCTCCGCCAGTCACGATAGTTGGCTGCTTCTTTTTGATAAGATCAGTCTCAAAGTCCAACGTTCGGACTTGCGTGAGATGACGTTTCAATGTTGTCTGAGGAGGGATCGACATATGCAATTTCATGACGTAGTCCTCATATGCCGCTTTGAAATCATTCCATCGTTCCGTGTCGGTGTGGGCGGGAGGCTTTTCCCAGATAGCGTCATCGTAACCAAGACCTTTGTATTTGACGAGCGCGGAGTCAACCTCTTTGACACGGGCGAGTTCTATCTCCTTAGTGCTGTTGCGTACAACACTCGAGTAGCGCACGTCGAAAACAATGTCGACACGGAAAACTTCTTCCGGAATCGCATCTGCTGTGGTCATTTTTGGCAGCCGATTCTCCGGCTTCTTGGAGAAAGATATACGCATGGTCCCCATGGCGACGCCCCATACCCAGGCTCCTGGCATCCACGTGGACCGAAAATAGGATTGTGTTCGCCACTTGATCAGGTACTCCTTTTCGTCCTCCGGGATCTCGGTCACAGCAGTGCCTGGGGTGTAGGTGTCAAGATCGGCAGGCCGCCATGCCACGAGACCGTCAATCTGATGTTGATTTTCAACGCAGTCTTTGCAGATCCATGATCGATGATAGTGCTCAAAGCGTTTCTGCGCCAATTGCGTTTCGTCGACCATGCTCTCATCCTCCTCGTCGTCGAGGGAATGGGCTGTCTTGCGCTCAGGAAGATGATGCATATGCCATGCACGCGCGCATTGTGAACATCTGAACATCACATTGCCAACATTGTTGATCAGTCTGGCTTCGACAATGGTAATAGGGTCCTTTCCCCCATTCTCCTCTCTCTGGAGTTGTTCTTGACGAGTTGTCAAACGACCACGAAACGGTTTCGACAATTCCCCTAGTTCGCGGCAGCCCGAACAACGTCCCTGATGCGGTGCCAATTCATCTTTTTCATGGGCAAGCCCAACGCAACGCCTACACTGCAGAACGAATAGGTCTTCGCCGATTTTGGTGACTAGGTGATCTCTGGTGCCTCGGAACCCAAGACAGACCTTGTGGTGGGAGTTTGTGCAGCCCTGGCAGAAGACCAATGGTCCTTTGACATCGTCATCTCCCTTGTAGTAACAAGTGTCACATTGTTGCCGATGTCTTTTTCTAAAGGGATCGTTTTCGGGAATTCGGGTGAAGTGCTCCTTCGTGCCGACGACCTTCGGCCCTGCCTTCTCTTCCTCATAGCTGGAGATCTCGTCTTCTTGCAGCTCTCGCATGCTGTGCTTCCGTCTTGTTTTTGTTCGCTCAGATCGCCGTGTTATCGCAAGCCGTTCGGCGTCGGAAGACGAGTCATGTCTCACCCTAGAGGAGCGCAGCGGACGCCCTCGTGTAGAGAACGTCGTAGACCGCTGTGTAGAAGCACGTGGTTTCCCGCGTCTCCTTGTGGTGCGGCTATCAGACTCATCTTCAAGGTCGCGGACTTCTTGTTTAAGACGTGCGGACATTTGAAGTTTGCTGAGTCTTGCAGAGCGTCTCCCCTCCCCCGGATCCTCATCTGAGACACTCTCATTATGCGCCTCTGATAGATCACCTCTCTCGTCTCTCTCCGAGGCCTCACTGTCGTGGGCTTGTTTACGACGTCGCTTGGATCTTGATTCTTTCTCAGACTCCGATAGAGCTATCGTAGTCCAGTCTATCATGCTTGAAAGTTTCCGCGAAGTCCGTCTGCTTCTGCTCGACTTGACACTAGCCTCGAACTCCAGCAATGCATCGTAGCCATTGTCGAGGTCGCGGAGTTCACGAGCAGATACCTGAATGGCAGGCATGATTAGTTGCGGATATGTTTGAAAGGGAGACCAAGTGGAAATCATGGATTAGAGAGGATGAGGGGAGAGCAAAGAGAGCAAGTAAGAAAGTGTTTGAGGCAAGGAAAGAAGACTGAGAGGAGGGTGAGTGGAAACAGGACTGAGTTGATATCGAAAACATATCCAATAGAAAACAAGGACGGGGACGACGTACAATATCTTGCTCGCCACTCTCAAGCCTGACAATATACTTCCTGTCTTTGCGCTCAGACAGAACCTTTTCCACAGAAAAGTGCCCCGGCAGATACTCGTACGCCTCCTTCTCCTCGTCTGTCAATTTGGGCACATCGATGTAGAAGTGTTTTTGGAACAGGCCGACTAGAAGATTGTCACCGTTCTCGCCCTCTTGATCCGAGGACGAGTCCTCCGTAGGAACATGTTTGCCGTGGTTTTGGTGATTAGCTTTCCCATCATCGTGGAAAATAACCCCCGCTTCGCTAGATTCATTCGAGAGTGACAGCGCAACTGGTGGTTGATCATCCAGAGCATCTTCGCTAGGCTCTGCGGAGCTCGGTGTTTTCTCCGGTGGTATACCCACCCAGGCACTGACATCTATATCCTTCATCTTTGTTATAGACACATGACCAGCAGGGCAGAAGAGACAGTCCGGTGAACGGAAGGTGTGCACTTTGGTCGAGTCCGAAGTGTAGCGGCGATCAACAGGGTGTGCCGCGCAGTTCTAAAAGGAGTGAAGAGATTCGGAGTTTCCTCCATCGTACAAGGCTCAAGGTGCCGCAGAAGAAGGGAAGTATAAAGAAGGGAAGTATGGTGAAAATTCGCAGTGACGAAGTTCAAGTTGCGCTCGAAAGTGTGAATCGAAAGTGAGAGTAAAACGCGCTCCGCGCTCCGCGTCACCAACGGACTAATTACGAAGTAACAATTTCATTTCTCCGACTCCAACTATCCCCTTCACGCCCACAACACCACGACAGAGGGCATTGCCGTCCCAACTTATTCGTGAATGCTACAATTTCGCCGCCCTGTCCTCCTCGCGGCTCTTGCGATCAATCACGTCCGTTGGTCTCAACCAGCACGCTTCATATCTCTGACCGGCGCAATTGAAAAGGGGATCCGAATTGGCCAGCAACGTAGAAATCGGCTGGAAAACCATTATGAAAACTCTACTGCGAGTCCTCAGCAAGGCCATGACCATCCCTCGGACACGTTGAACATAGGCGAAGAGGGTGGCAAGACGAAGGCAGTGATTATACCAGGCGAAGAAAGGCGAAGAGGTCAAAAAAGACGCAAAGGTCCCAGGACCGTGCAGCCAGGACAAGATGCAAAAAGAGCAAAATCCGTGCGCGCTGATACCGGAGTGCCGACGTCAATCCCTTACACCACCGCGGGATCAGAATTTCTCTACGGGACGTTTTCTGTCTTAGCTGCGCTCAAAGCCCAGAGACGGAAACTCCACAAGCTCTATCGACTACTTCCTCCCGGCTATGACAAGAACACAAAGAGAGCCAAAGCTCTCCAACCCAAAGAGTCCCCAGAGCAGGTTCAAATCCACAAGCAAATCCACAGTCTGGCTGAAAAGGTGGGGATAGCTGTCACGGCCGTATCAGGACCTCGCTGGCAAGGCGTGTTTGCCAAAGCATCGGATGGACGACCACATAATGGCTGGATTCTGGAGGCTTCTCCAATTCCAAAACTACCTGTCGCGAGCTTGTCATCTGTAACACAGTCGTCTGACCCTATCACTGTCACAGTCGGATGGGCATCTGAGGAGGACCGAGAGATCAATACTGTGTTTGGCACGTCTGGAAGCAGAGCAACAATCCCCTCTGTTCGACCCTCCGGTCGGTATCCTTTCATGCTCTTGCTTGATTGCATCACTGACACTGGCAACTTCGGCGCCATTGTACGTTCGGCTTGGTTTCTTGGGGTCGATGCTATCCTCATCCTTGAGCACGGAACTGCACCTATTTCAACTAACAGTGTCAAGGCTTCTGCCGGGGCGTTCGAATACATGCCCCTTCTTCATATCAAGAATGAAAGAGAGTTCATCAGGGATTCGCGGAAAAATGGATGGAAGTTCTTCGCTGCCGATGCACCGGAGAGTGATGGTGGGATGATGCAGCGAATCATGCATCAAAAGGGCAAGAAAGCCCTGGATGTTGAGGGTGCATTGTCGAGACATCCTTGCGTCCTAGTTCTTGGGAATGAAGAGACTGGCATTCGAGACTTCATGCGAACCATGATGGATGGTGTGGCCGGGATCCCTAATGCGAGACCTGACATTGGAGAGATTGACAGCCTGAACGTCAGTGTGGCCGCAGCCTTGCTCACTCAGAAGTTCTTAGACACGGGTCCTGCTAAGCTGGATAGGCGCGGTCCAAAGCTTTTGTGCTGAGCTTTCCATTGATCAGCTACGGCCCCTGAGTGAGCTATTCTATCTGATGTTGAATGTAACAGCGACATCTCTAGAGAGGGACAGAATTGATTTGATCAAGATTGAAATACTCGGTACAGAAAACTCGTAACGTAAGCGTGGTGTGGACTATTTGCTCCGCCGTAATTAAATACGGGGAGGCAAACAGTCTGCCGTGTGGTGGCCATGGATGGTTTGTTGTGGATTAAAATGCTTCGATGGCCAATTTTCATTGTTCATTTTTGCTCGATCGGGAATATTCATTACGTTTCTGAATCCAAGGGGCCCCTGCAGTCGAGGGGCCAGCATGAACATCTTCAGACCGACATGTCCACATATATAAGCGTTAGTGTCCTATATCCCGGGCTACCCAAGACTTGTCTTTTCTCCCCTTTGCGCCGCGTAACGCCCTACGCCTTACTACCTTACCCTGTTAATCCTTCTTTGACTGGGTTTGTCAGTATCATCTCCCTGCTGTTCCATTTGCTCTGTGGTAGACAGACTCATCTGCAGCGACCGAGGCTGTCTGGAGTCTGATGTCTCTTTCTCTTTTCAGTTCCTGGACTGAGTCGGCAATCCTCCTCCTCCTCCTCTCCTCTATCCCTCTTGTTGCCTCCTTGAGAATGGTCTCTAAGCGAGTTTGAGCAGACTGCTGCCCGTTTCCCCTGAAGGCTCTACCAATAGCGGCCACGAGTGGCCCGCCACGGCCGTACCTGATTGCTGGTGGGTTCCAGTGCTGGATTTCGGTGTCACTCGCAGCTCGAGCATGGCCTCTTAATCCCAAAGCTTCCCGCTCTGTCTTTAAGGCCTCAAGGAAGGTCGATTCAAAAGCTGCTGGGTATTGAGCAGAGTTGAAGTCTTGAGTGCCTGCAAAAGTTCTGCTCAAATCCAGTCTATATTCTGTCGACATCAAGCGCGCATGAAGTTTCTGGCCCAAAGACCATAGCTGTTTGTCACCGCTGTACGCTAACCCATTCAAGACATGCGAGAAGCTGTTATGCATGAATTCGACCAAGGCTCGTCGCTCGCCTAATACCGGTCAGCGCATGCCTCCCGCTGCTAGGGAAGGAATTAAAAAAAAAAAAGGGGGGGGGACACTGACGGCTAATGGCATTTCGCAGGGGTTCTATTTCGCAAGCAAATTCGACTTTCGAATCCCACACCACAGCATCAACATATTCCTCGAGCATCTGGTCTAACTCTCCGCCAAGGACGAACGCAATGATGATAAGATACGCCGCATCATTCACGGAGGGCTGGAAGTCGTTCCGCAATATGAAGTCACTAACACTTCGTTTCAATTCCCGCCAGTCGGCCTGATCGCACTGGTACACCCAGATCGTGATACAGATCTGCGTTACATATCTCAGAAAGCCCTGCTGTTCCTGCTGATTGTCGGGGGGATGCATCCTGGTAGCCAAATGGTGGGTGACATAAAATATGGACGCGGCGCTCATACCGCTACCAATGTTCGGGAGCAGTCGAGAAGGGTCCACTTGGGTGATGTGACGGTAAAGTTTGGGACAGTCCGTTCTGATATCTTCTAGCCCTCTCATGGTTTCCGCTTGAAGGTCTCGAACAAGTTCGGTGAACTTCTGCACATTCTGGTCATCATTTCCGTCCGAGGCGGTCAAATCCTCTTCGAATGAGGGAGATTCTCCCATCGGCCATCCTTGTCTCCTGAAGGTATACAACTTCCGTTGTTGGGCGTTGTCAGGGTAATGATTTCGGGGATTCATGGTTATGAGAAAGTTGTCGGAGAAACTCACGGCGCACAGATATCTACAAGTAGTTGTGCGTATCAGAAGATGACGAGATAGAGTGACGGGTGTGTGGGACGCCGGGCGAGATTGTTAATATTGGCCACGAAGGTGCTGCTTTGATGAGGGGAGCCACCAGCCGGCAAGTAAAGATGTTTCGTGATCATGCTATTGGTTCTGACCTGGCATTGGAGCCGCCTGAGCGATTGGTGGCTTGACATGAACTAGCAGAAAAGGGAGGAATGGCCGGAAGCTGCAAGGCGACGAAAACTGAAGGCAGAAGTCTTCACAAGCCTCCGCCGTTGAGAGCCACGTTGGTGTGGACGCCGGCAATTATGGACAAGACTAATCTCCCCGGAGAGACATTGTTTGAGGCTCTGGGGTGGACCCCCCTATTCACACGACGACAAGTTCGACCGTGTTCTTTAGGACACACCGAGGCGCAACCCTTCGTGGAGGCGAAGTGCTTGCCTAGTTGAAAAAGGCTGGCATCGCCCCGACTACGCCGCCCAATACGGTTCGAAGGGGCAGCCATAGGGACAGCAGTTCGGATGGGGCAAATGATGGTGGCGAACTACTGCTCAACCAGGAAGGGATGGCGGGCGTTGGCATCAGCCCAGAGACTGGATTCTCCTTGAGAACTGCTTGCGGCCAAACTCATATATGAGTGAGCCGGTTTCCCGGACTCGGTGCGGTCTAAACAGGCGCCCTCACTTACATCCAACAGCAAAGTTGAACATGGCGACCAAAGAAGTGTTCGACTTTGGCCCAGTGCCAGCTGCCCCTCGATTGAACGTGACGGCAACTTATGATGATTTGAAATCACATCCAGAGCTCTACTTTCAGGAAAGTCTTCAATCACAACCCTCTCCTAGACCATTGGTTTCTAACTTTGCCGCAGGGAGGAGATATTGGGTTCATGATAGGAGCAGCTGCCCTCGTCTTTTTCATGATTCCCGGCCTGTGCCTCCACTTCTCAGGTGTCTCGAAGCCGGATTCCACACTCACCTTGGTGCGTCTTCCGTTGATTACCACCGCCGTGGTGGGATGTGTGGTAAGTATCGACCCTACCATGTCCTTGCGAAAGCATCACAGCGGCTGACGGTAGGATAGTGGTATATGTGGGGATATGCCCTTGCTTTCTCTCCCGCAGTATACGACCCAGATGCGCTACGCGGCGTGTCATGGTATGGCGGAGATACCAGAGCAAACGCCTATATCGATGTCACTGCTCGACCTGTGGGTATACAAGGTCCTGACCCATTAGTCATGGCAGGCCCGAAAATTCCAGAAATGGTCTATGTCTTCTACCAAGGCATGTTTGCTTGTTTCACGTGAGTCTCCCGCGAGGAACTTTGAATTCGATGACTTAGTATTTCCTTGCAGGGCAAGTCTTGTCTCTGGCGGAGCGGCGGGCAAAACCCGTGTCGGGCGGTATCTCTTCTTCATTGCCTTGTGGACGACCCTTGTTTATTGTCCAGTAGCCAGATGGACATGGCATCCGCTAGGCTGGTCTAAACTCAGGGGAGCAATGGACTTCGCCGGTGGTACTGCAGTGCATGTTTGTTCTGGGTCGTCGGTTGCCGCTCTCGCGGTCTTTTCACAGCTTGAAGCTGCAGATTGGCGCACAACAGCCGTCTTTCGAAAACTGACAGTGAAAATCGAATTAAAGACTTGGAAAGTCTGGAGATGGCTGTCCCTGGAAGAGAGCACGACTGACAACGAAGTTGAACCAAGGACAACCTCGCCACAGGCAGAACACGCTGGCAACGGGCAGGTTCGAGCTCCGCGGCAAACGAATCCTTCAGAGAGGCCAGGATCTAGCTTGAACCGCGAACAATCGAGTTTACCTTACAGCATTAACCATATGGTGTTGGGTACCTCCCTGCTTTGGGTCGGATGGTTCGGCTTCAACGGTGGGTCGGCCCTTGGGGCGAATCTTCGCGCTGTGTCAGCCTGTCTGGCAACGCAGGCTGCTGCGTGTGCCGGAGGCACAATCGGCTTACTTGTTCAATGGGGTCTGGCCCCTCTTGACAGGATAGCATCAGACAACCCAGACACCTTGATACATACACCCTCCATTCAGGAGTTCTGTGACGGCGTAATTGCTGGGTTGGTGGCTATTACACCAGCTGCAGGATATGTGAGTGACCATTGGCTCCGAGATCCCTGGTTTGCCTTAGCCGACTGAATTCCGCCTAACGAATTGCAGGTTCCTGTCAAATATGCTCCTGTTTTCGGAGTCGTCGGCGCCCTCATCTGCAAGATTTTGAGAATAATCATGTACAATCTCTTGCCAGCGGACAAACTGGCTATCTTCGCTGTCCACGCCGGCGGAGGAGCCACGGGAATGCTGCTCACTGCATTCTTTGCAAAGTAAGCCACACAAGGTCCTAGGGAGCGACTTGTTACTGACATCAGTTGTAATAGTGATGCAACTACTGGTCTTGATGGGTATTCAAGGCTGGTAGACAAAACAATGGGCGCCCGATTTCGGTGGGTTCGCTCAGCAGGTGCTCAGACGTTCATACTGACCTACTCAAAGAGACCAAGCGCTGGACATAACTGCATGTCTGTCTTACTCATTCACCATGACGTTCACGATCCGGCTAGCCATGAAGCTCGTTGAGCTCTTCTGTGGCGTCAAGACTCCTGCACATACCGACAAGTACGACCATTACCCAGACACTTATGAAGCTCTACCTCAGTTCGAGCGACGCAATCCGTTGAAACAGGTGTGAAGCTGCCGTCCACGGTAGCGGATTATGAGAACAGAGTCGCATAGGCGGTCCCGAGCGCGGGGAATTATGCCCGCTCGATTCGGGTGCAGCACGGCCTTGATGGAAGGAAACAGGGTGTCGAGCAAAGCGATGAGAGTAATTGTAATCAGGACCAAACATTCTGGACCGCGAGAGTCAGTGTGAGAGAGGTGTCGAGGCGACAGAGGGGGAAGGGCGACCTCGTCCATGTGCTTGCTCGTATTCTCTCAGCCTCAAAAGAGGTACCCAAGGGGTCCAACGAACTAAACTCGTTATGCACTAGTGGCCGTGATTGGACTGTGATACCAGGACTTGCTGGACGGAGCAGATGGACTGAACACCCCGGACACCGCTTTTCCGTCTATGCCACTCCCGTCCTTTGTAGTCTGGACTGAATGAGAATTTCCAGGCGAGACGCGCTATACCGGTTCCATTACCGTCTGGGCAAGCATGACGCCCTCTGGCAGGATCGAGAAGGCGCTGGTCCACATCGGATGGCCAGTCCAACCAGCTTTCGAGAATCCCCAGCTTTCCATGGTCAAAGAGCATCCTCAGGACCAAAGTTCCTGCCAAAAAGCCAGGCCAAATCGGCAGATGACGACGATGGGAGAGCCTGGTTTTTCAGCCAGCCACAACCCTTCCTACTTGCCCAGCATCAGGGGCTAAACCTGTTTGTGCGAGGAAAGGCAACCTTTCAAGCGACAAGGGGGGCCATACTATTGCTGGTCCGCGGCCCAGCCCATGGTCGTGTTCTGACTTGGCAGAGGCGCAGCGAGGTTCTTGTTGCCTGCGGGCTGATGGTCGATAGGAACAAGGCTGATCGATGCTTGGAAGAATGACGACCGCCATTTTCGTCCTCCGTGGTCGCGAGCCTTGGCCCAGTGTTCTATTGAATACTATGTCGGAGTATTCAGGGGATAGGACGACGGCCACTTCTATCATCAGCATCAATCTTCTGCAGGCCCAGAAGAAGCTTCCTGATCGAATTCGTGGACCTCCGGGATGGTAAGACCCCTTGAAAGCCGATAGCACGATATGCTAGAGGGTGAGGCTAACATCAACTCACCTTAGGAGGCGGCATCAGGGTGCAAGTGCCATTGCGGCAAACCGATTCCCTGGAAATGGGCGGCTCGATGCTCCAAGAGCAGACAGTGCCCAGACTATTACTCTGTCCACTGCCACATAGATGACTGCAATCTGAGGGAATGCCGCTTCCACGGCAGTTGCTGGGATGACCATCTCCCCCGAAGCTCGAGGCTCGCAACGTCTCATGCTGCAGTTGGGTTGACAGTACACCATTTCTTCGTCAAGGATATCATTCACTCGGAGGATGAGCCAGAGCGACTGAGACAGCTGCATGAACAAAATGCGGCAACGCGCTGGTTCAACATCCGCCATCGGAATTCCCAGCCTGTTCTCTACGTCTACGATAGATTCAGCCCATTATGTGAACCTATTGCCGACCAAACCTCCTCGGCCGCCGCCACTTTCCCAACGTTCGTGTCCTTCATCGGGAAGTCGGGCGTCGGCAAGTCCACGCTGGTGAGAGCAATGCTATTGCTGGGAAATCTAGACGTACAACACGTGAAAAAAGATGATATATCTAACCTCTCAACAAACCAAAATCGTTCCGACACTTTCAGAGCCGCCATGTCTTCGCAACAGGAGATGCCGGTGACCCGATCGGGCCATATTGATCATGCTACAGACCCTACGACACTTGGTGTCCATCTCTACAAGGACAGCTCGAGCTCACGTACATCGCAATCGAACTCCAATGCCTTGACATTGTTCGCAGACTGCGAGGGATTCTTCGCTGGGGCGGCCCAAACGAATGCTGAACGCTTTGCCACAGATCAACGCAGAATGTCGGCCAACGAAGATGCTACGGAGGCAAATGTGTTGTACAAAGCGCCCGTGACCGCGGCCAGTTACTCTCGTCATGGACAGCAAGGAGCAGAGCTGTTCTACGCAAGATTTCTTTACGCCGTCAGCGATGTCGTCGTCTTTGTGACCAACGAGGATCAGAACATCACACTTCTGCTTGTGAGCGCGCTTGAGTGGGCAGCGACAGCAGTTATGCACTCGGTTAATTACCCTTCGCGGAAGACTCTCGTCATCGTTCGCAATGGCGCTCTTGGCCACAGCCAGCAATTTGTCGATAACGAGTCACTCGAGAGACTATACTTGGAGCGTCAGGCCTTTTTGTGGAGAGCGTCACCCATACTTCAGAATTTTGTCAATGATTACAACAGCAAACAGGATGGATTTAGCAAGCATATCTACCGGAATCGAGACCTCTACGACGCATTGTTTGATAGAATCATTTGCTGCTGCATACCTCATGTCAGTGATGTTGAGGAACACGGAGACGAAACCATGTTCACCCAATACCTAAAACTACGGACCCTGATCGACGATGCTTCGCAACGAGCAATCAATATGCGTTCCAAAGTGTGGATGAAATATAATGTTTCTTCCCTCTCTCAAATCCTCTTTTCAGCTTTCGAGCACTTTCGGACCAGCGACGAAGCATTCAATTTCAACAAGGCTGCGAGGATCAGCAAACCCAACCCCCAATCGTTCTCCGACCATATTGCCAATTTCCTTCGCCTTGCCTTCAACTCGCCGATGTCTGTCCAAATCAGGGCAATGATACCTAATATTATAGCCCTGAGCTTTGTTGTTTGGTCAATGAGGAATCTCATTCACGGTAAGAAACCAGAACATCCATTCATCTACTCTCCAGCTTCTCTAAACTCGACGCCTCTATAGTGGTGGATCCAGCAGGCCTATTTGGCCGCGTTATAAACGGTGACAAGGATGAGTTCTCGCTGGCACAGCACTGTCAGTCTGCCCTCCAAGAGTACGAAGAAAAGTACCAGCAATGTGGGTATAAGTTTTCGGAGAACGACCTTTGCACAAATGGGCCGCCGGCTACCCATCAGCGACTGCATTTGTCGATATCCAAGAAACGGGCGGACGGGGAATTCACCCCCAGGCACAGATTGGACCCAAACCTGGTGAGTCTGATTCGAGACGGATTCTTGGAGCATTATGAAAGTCTAGTGAGTGACGGAGGGACCCACTACCGGTCCATGACCAAGCCCGCTCCAAGTAAGATCAGGAGGGTTCGAGAAGCCGTCGTGCAAAAATACATCAGGCAGTGGAGTTCGCTGACTAGCAATATCACCTGTCTTGCTTGTCTGCAGGCAGTACCCGAAAACGTCCTGCACTGCGGCCACGGATTCTGTGTCCAATGCGTTCGAGAACTGGGACAGGCGTCAGAGAGCTTCGAGTCGGCTTGGACGTTCGAAGTCTGTCCCCTTTGCAGCGCACGGACATGTGACAGCTACTCACATCTGATAAGGGAAAGACCACGATGTGCTGGCGCCCGAATTCTGACGCTGGACGGAGGCGGGATTCGGGGCATCATTGAGCTTGCTATCATCCAAGAGATGGAGAAGAGGCTGGGCTTGCAGATTCCCTTCCGTGACTACTTTGACCTCATAGTCGGGACAAGCACAGGCAAGTCGTTCCAGGGCCAAATTTCGAGACTTGGACATGCCCTTATTAACCTCCTTCCTTCATAGGTGGAATTATTGCGCTAGCCCTTGCAATGGGAGATAGAGATGCAAACACACAAACAACCACGATGACGACGTCGTTCAAGGATTTTGCATCCTCGACTTTCCGCCATCCCCGAGCCGGCAGTCTCCTGACGAAGATTGGGCTTGGCCACTTTGTGACGAGCGTGGTCATGTCTTTCGGCCTGTATCAAGCCTTGTTTGATTCGGCGCCGTTGGAAAGTGGGTTGAAGGATTTCTTTGGTTCCCAGACAAGTCTCTTCGGGTCTGCGCGCACCCGGCATCACCAGTGTTCGACCCGAGTTGCTGTGGTTGCTACCGTTGATTTTGGAAAAAGAGCACAACTTATCACCAGCTACAACAGACCAAATTTGGGATCGAGTAGCGAGTTTGAGCGCGAAGACGACGAGACCAAAGGAATGCGAATTTGGGAGGCCGGGCTTGCGACGTCCGCTGCCCCGTTCTACTTGGCCCCGTTTAACAAGACGGAGACGGGAATTCTGTACCTTGACGGTGCGTTGCACATGAATTGTCCTGCCCCGGGAGCTGTGGAGGAGATCAGGAAGCTGTGGCCCGAGCACCCCCCTTCGCTCGATGTTCTTGTCTCCATTGGGACCGGTGTTCAGGACTCGGAAGTCAAGATCCCCCGGGCGATCCGAATCGGGGGTTTCGAGGAGATCTGCCGGTCGTTCCACAGCAAACTGGACTCGGAGACCCAGTGGCAAGAGTTCGCGGCCAGTAGTGCGACGGACGCTTTCCGGGACCGGTTGCACCGGCTCAATCCACCGATCGACGAGAACCTGCAGAAAGTCACGCTATGGCAGTGGGACAAAATGGCCAAGCTGGAAGAGATGGTGCGGCGACAGATGAAAGAAGGCGAATGGAGAAAGCGTATCGACGAGGCTGCAAACGACTTGTTGGCCAGTCTCTTCTACTTTGAGCCGCACGCCAACGAGCCCTCCTCGGCGAACAACCTAACGCCTACGGGGACGCAGCACGTCAACGGAGCCCCTGAGATCCACGGGACGATCCGCTCGCGTCTGCGACACGGCAGTGCCGAGCTGAACCGTCTCCTCGACCGAGTCAAAGGCCTCTTCTACACGAAGCTTTCCATGTCCCGGCCGCCGTCATCGCTCTTGCAGCATGACCCGTGGACCGAGATCGCAGCATTCCACACCATCAAGGCCCAAGTCATGGTGTCGCGCCAGCCGTTTCGCGTCCCGGTCCGGCTTGGAGAGACATCCGAGACCAGGTTGTTGGTCCTGGCGGTGCGGTTCAAGGAGGCTTCGGCGCCGCTCCCTATCAGCGGGTTTCCGACCCTGTTGCACGACTTGCATGTGAAGGCTCGATCGTGGGATTGATTGATTCATCGACTGGTTGGGTTGTTGGTCCTTTGCTCGTCGTTCTGCGAGAGAGGCTTGCTGACCGGTTCGCAGCTATTCGATGGAGCTAAGAAATCTGCTTCACTGGTTGAATGTACGAGTCTTAATCGAAGACGAATCCGCATTGCACGGAGTCCTTGGACCGATAGTCGTGCTGCTATTGATGACGGTGTTCCTGGCCTTCCCCCCCTTTGGTTCGGGTAACCACAAACCAATTCGTTCTTTACAGCCTATACCATTCATGATCCACGCGCAGAAATACATCCCCAATTTGGATGCATGGAAGAACATCTCCAACGACGAAAGTTGCCTGCTAACTCGGAGGAATTCCGAGTGTGCTGACTCTTCAGCCAAAGCTCCAACTCCTCCTTTTCATTCATAGACTTTCGGGCCTCTGAAATCCCCTGCTGGCTTGACCTAAAGCATCTTTGTAACAACCCTCGCATCGCAGGGCCAGAGAATGACACCTGAACTCTTTTGCGGTTTTGCCCCATTTGCCGAACTCGTCAGAGACCGCAGTGAAGTGCTTTGGTTCAAACCCTTCGGTGTCGGGTTTATTTTTTGTCTCCTAAGTTCAAGCAAAGGTTGGCAAAATCCAAGTCGGGTGGAATTTCAGGTTGATTTTTTTTTTTTTTACCAATTTCGTAAACATCGAGTATTGCCCTCTAGGCGAACCGGAAAGATGCATGCTCGAGCGGGTGCTCAGCCTCCTTCCAATTGTCGACATGAGCTCGAGCAACCTCCCGCAGAACGCTCCCTGGCACCTTCTCCAATTTCTCCAATGCTTCTCTGATGTCTTTGCCTAATCTTCTCTGTTCCCTCAAGCTGTAGTCCCTGCTTTGCCAACTCAGATATTCTCCCTGCTCTCTTCTTAACGGCTTCTAACGACCGGCCGCATATGGAATGCCTATATTTGTCAGTATTAAGCGCCGTGTCCATCCTTTTCAGAGCGATTCGGATGTATTGGCCTTCCTTGAGGGTGAAGATATCGCCTATGCACTCGACGACAATCTCTATCCGTTGGGATGTCATCCAAATAATCGGACCGGGACTGTGACGCCAACGAAATTAGTTCTTTCTTCGCATTGATGTTGGGGGTTTTCTCCTTCTATGGTGAGAATGCTGCTGATCATCTTGAACATCAAGACATGAGCATTGACTCGCTCCTTTCCCGGAGAGTCTCGATAGTAGGCCCGAAGGGAAGGCGCCGAGAACGTCAGGAAGCTGCTCTCATCCTCAGCCTCAACAAGCTCTATTTCGACGTCCATAGCGCTAAAGTCTGCAAGCTTATCATAAGGGGGAGCGTGAGAAGTCTGTGAAACAATATGGGAAAAGGTAGAAGTCAGACCTAGAATCTCAATACTCAAAGGGACACGGCTTACCGAGATAATTTGCGATCCAATTTACTATTCCAGTCGAGCTCCTTTGCGGGAGTGCTGCCTGCTTCCTTTGCGGCACTCTCGACCTTCGACCACGTTGAAGTGAGCTCCAGGAGCAGTTTCCCTCCAACGAGGGTAAAGTTGCTTTTTGCATAAGCGGGCCATCTGAAGAGATTCCTCAGCTGCTGGATCTCAAATTTGGACCTCTCGGCGTTGTATTCGGCGAAGACTGTCTTATGAAAACATTGGGTGTTGTCTGGGGGTGCTTCGAGGCGCACTTCCCGGTGTTGAGGCTTTGAATTCCGCTGGTTAAGTAAACGGAGAGCAGGATCCGCATAAACAAAATCTATGGGTTAGAAGAAGTTGTTAGAGGTGGACTCAGGCAAATCATATGATTCTTTGCCTTTGGCCTTCTCGCATGCCTTTTTGATGATTGTGCCTCTCTTCATTCTAGTGTGTCTTACAAGTCTCGGCCAACTTTCAAAACGAACCGGACGAATTTCCTCAAGTCAGCCATGGTGCCTTTTTGCGCAGGCACATCAAAGCCTAAAGGTATGGTGTAACTCGGCATTTGAGGCGCTGGGTGAGCTGCGATACGAAAACCGACTCCAGGGGGACCCCAGAAATGGCTTGCAGTTTCTGGTTGGCAACGGCTGCGTCGAGACACGGCAAAAGTTTCTCTAGCTCTTCAGTCCTCAATTCGTCAACTCCGTCGGGAATGAGGACTATTGCAGACTCGCTCAGAAACATTCCTTTGAAAAGCGCACTCCAGCATCGATCGCATTCTTTTGGTTCTCTGCAACCACATTTGCTGTTATTGGCCTCTCTTTCCTAGATGTGCTTTGTGAGTCGCTTTCGATGACCTGTGTCCTGGTCGGCAGCCTGCGTGGCACAGCAAGAAATGAAGTCTTGAACGTAGAAGACTTCCTCGCTATCGCTACCGAAGTTGAAGTATGCAACAGTCGATTTTTTCCACAACCCATTTCCCGGTTAGTATTCATGCAGTATCGCAAGACGTACCCAGTAGAACAGCTAGCCTCGCCTTGCCTCGCTAACAGTACTTGTAGGTAAGTGTGCACATCATTGAGTCATGTGACCTCTCCTGGCGTAGTTGAGGTTGTACTTGGCGAGGTTGGTACGCAGAAGGCTAAGGGATCAATGGACATAAAAACATTCATCGTATTCGTTCATACAAGGGCCTTCATAAACCACTACCTCGCGAGCAAGGTACGTATTTCCGAGGATGGAGAGTACGTTCATACTAAATACCATGACACATACATAAAATGTATCGTCTGGATGCGCCGGCCAAGTAGTCGTCTTCTTCGTATGAGATGGAGTACGGGGGCATCGCTTCTTTGTTTCTGTGGTTCTTTGTCCAAGTATCTCATACACACAAATATATCAGCCTAGTGTAATCTTCGGGGTTCCAAGAACCTTCCCACTTCCAGGCTGCTTTGCAATCTCGACTATGGACATTCCCCCATTCCATTTCCAATGCATACATATCCTGCCCACCCACTCGTGTGCCATCTCACGTCTCAAGGCGCCTAACTAACCAATGCATGTGAGTTGACGATGATGTTGTTGTTGTTGTCCCCCGTTCCAGCCTTGCACCCGTCGTGCAATGAAAAAATGCCTGATTGATGCTGAAATCATATCGAGAATCTTATTCACCGAGGACGCCATTTTGTGAATTGCTTGGTTGCTATGTTCCGTCCGTTAATTTTCCCCCTGCCCCCCCAAAAATCATAATGTCGGTCTCGTTCATTTTGTCGCATTCCGCAAGGAGATAATACATTCGATCATCCACTTCATTTGTTTTGGTTAAAAATATTCTTCAACTTTGTGTATTGTACACACGTTTCTCAGTCCTAGAGAGAAGGTTAGCACAAACGATTCTGTAGGGGATATTCGGCCGGCGCAAACTTACCTCATCCGTAAGACGATCCAGCAATTGAATGCTTAATATCATGACCAGCAATCCTAGTGTGACCACGACGAGCAATCCAAAGCCGAACCAACCAAGCACCATAGCCGAGGTTCCGACCCCCGACTTGACGCTCCCATTCCCCAGATCCTGTGCAACTGTGCTTGCTGCTACGGCCGCAGTGTGTTGCCACATAACGCTGACCAGCACAAAGACTGATGAAATGAAAATTGTTGCCAGCGCCACCTGTGACACTGCTCTCGAGGGAAATGGTCGGACTTCATGCTCAGATCCATCTGGTCCCGTGGACGTGTGCCAACCAGGGAAGGTCGCCAGGAGCAAAAATGTGAGAAAAGCCAGCACAATGGCAATAATCAGTAGATAGGGAAACACGATGGCGTTCTTGAACGTGCTGGCTACCCATATCAGGTTCAATGGGTCTTGGTCGATGGACACCAGGTCAGCCAGTGCGGTAGAATTTTGATTGCACATCCACGCTCCCCCATCGACACGGATGCAGATGCCGAAATATCCGACGCGGACGTTCAAGTCGGCATTTCCCACGATGTTCGCTATCGCAGTGGTGACGGAGGGATCGACTTGTACTGTACTGAAAACGGGAGGGTATTTTTGGTAGTATAGGGAGATGAGGTAGATATCGGGGATGAGCGGGGAGGTTGACGAGCAGCCTGCTAGCAAGAGTGCTGCAAAAGAACCATGTCAGCATTTGACAAGGTGGTACACGGGAGATGGCATAACACTCACATAATAAGATAATTGAAATGGCTATGAAGATCATGAGGACATGGTGGTAGCCTATGAAGGGCACGAATCTTCTCCACCCTGTCCTAAAGCGTAGAGCCATTGTGCCGTCTTCCTGGACTCAACCGTGTCTCCACGAGGCAAGGTGTATCTCTGTGTGTGTGTTACCGTCCCTGAGGACGGAGTATGGTGTTGAAGCTCAGCACAAGCACAAGTTTTGGCACGTAGCCAGGTTCAAGCGGTGGCCGAGGGAAGTCTACTCGTGGTGTAGGCGGTATTGGTGTGTGGTAGCGACGGTCGAAGGGTATTGAAGTTAACAGAAGGTCGAGGAGTATGATGGCTCTGAAAAACAGAACGGTTAGCTGCCTGGGTTTTCTTCTGGCAGAGGGAAACAGATGAAGAGGAAGAGGAAAGAAGAGAGGGAAGAGAGGCGTAGCTTGATTTAGTCCTGGTGATATTTTGAGAGTGGATTTGCCATGGCTGTGATTGGACTTCAGTGGTTTGCCATATCTGAAATCCGTGAGGTTGGGATTCTTTTGTTGAGTTGTGAGTGAATTGTTAGAAATTAATGTGGTGGCAGGAAAAAGCGCAGTTGTAACAAAATGTGGCAGGGCTGGGCCAACCCGGATACTTGAGTGACGAGGCTAGCCTGTGTTTTGGTTTTACCTTTTTTAGTTTAGGCTCCCGCCGACTGATGCTTATTTTCTGCCTGGCAGCCTTATGACGTAGCTTCCTCCTACTCGTCTTCACCGTCTCTTTGTCCGACCCGAACTTGTGGTTGACTCGGAACGTGGGTTCTTCTTGCTTTCCGTTCATTATTGATACCAAGGGCTCAGTTATCTGCGGAGCACTCGGAACGGAGTACATCTATTGCAGTCATTAAATCAGGAGCCCCAAGACCCTGAACAGTTCTAACCAATAGTCGTCGACATTCTAGCTCGTCGTTTCTGCCCAATACCCAGTCTCCTACGCCCAATCCAAACCTTCCACATCGCGGCGCAGTGCATCTCTAGAAACAAAGCAAACGCCATACAGAATGCCGCTAAAACCCAACAACAAATCAATCATGCCGATACAAATGCAAATGAACTGAGGTCAAACTGGGGCTTCTGTGCTGGTGAGCCCGCCTCCGAGTTTTCATCCTCGCTGTTCGGTATAATCGCATCCTCGCTACCACGTGCTTCGTTTCGCCAACCGGCTGTTGAGATGCAGCCGTTCCTCTCTGCCCCTGATCTTTCAATCCGGCGGGTTAAAGTCGGAGATGATGCCCCACAAGAGCTTTGCTGGTTCAGCGACCTCAACGCTGACTGTTGAACCTCTAATGGTTGATGTTCGAAGGTCTTTTGCAGATCCACTTTCTGGCCAAATGACTGGATGTCTCTAGGTCTAGGCCCCTTTCTAGGTGCACGCAGCTGGATTTCTGACTGAGAGGAGGATGTCGTCTGCCTCGAGCCCATGGGACCCGGCGACCGCATGGTAGAGGTTTGGCTCTCTTGAGGTTGGAAAGCAAACGTTTTCATCAATGATTCGTTCTGTTTCCGGACATGATATTCGAGTAGATCCTCAAAGGTGTCGGGATCATCGTCCTGGCTGATCTCTCTTACAGCCTCGGTACCGCCTGAGTGAGTTGTGTCTGATAGTGAAGGCTGCATTGAGGATTTGGCTACGGGCGACGATTGTGGTATCGATACATGCGATTCAGGGCCTTGGGGTAAACGCTGCTTTGCCTGCGTCGAGTTCCTCGTCACCGCTCCTTTGTCAGGACTCGCCGCCTGCTGGATTTCAGGCTCAAGCAGCATTTCTCCATCGCAATGGTCCGAGAAGACTTCGAATTTAGACTTTACACTTTTCTTGCTCTTGCGAATCTTCTGGGCTAAAGGACTGGCCTCTTCACCCTTGGCGGTGAAAAATGGGCTTTGCTTCACCTCTCGGGTTGGCGAAGGGTCCATTGAGTCTGAGCACAGTCGTTGTCGCTTTGTCGACTGGAAAGTCGACGTTGTCGACGCTCTAGCCAGGAAGACCGTGCGGTCTGTCGTACTTGCGAGCGCAGCCGATATTGTGGTAGTTCGCCTCGAGGCAGGAGCAGAAGAGACCAGTCTGGGTTCCCAAGAGGCATTTTGATTGCGTGCTAGTAGTCGTTGTTGCGACGGAGAAGGAGTCAGGCTGTTGGGATCTAATTCGGCGAGTGGTTGTCGTTGAGGCTTGAAAAATGTCTCTATCGGTTTCTTCGGCTTCAGCTCTGGTGCAGACGCGTAGCTCTGGCTCCTGCGCTCTCCAAGAGCCGGGCGAACCAAAGACTTGCTATTAAGCTGAATGGGTCTCTTCGAAAACGGATCTAGATCACCATATGCGACACCAAGAGCTGTGACAGGTTCCACATAAGGCCCCAGATACGGCATGTCTGAATCTGACATTCCTGGACCAAGGTCGTTCAGGAACACCATTTTTTGTGCGATTGGACAGAAAACACGGTGGTGTAGAAAGGTCAGCTCTGCATGTCGAAATTGCTCCAAGTAGCCATTCGGTACAATCAACTTCCCCTCCAATTGGACAATCCGAAGGATCTTCTCGATGTGGGTATACTTGCGAACAAGGCCATGAGCTGTCTTCAGACCCAACTTGCCAATATTGGGCAGATAGTCGCAGCCGCTGAGAATAGCCATCCGTCGGAACATCGAGTCGGTCCAGCCAGCAAGAGAGATGTCTTTGCACATGGGGAAGTCTGACCGTTCAATCTCAACCAACTCGCCATATTGGTTGAGCTTCGTCAATAGCCGCTGGGCACCAAAAACAAGCATATCCGAATCTTCGGCCAGAATCCCATT